GGGTCTCATTATCTGGCACTTGTGTAAAAGCTTCAGCCATGTCCACACAGTTTTCTTGGCAACAATACAGAAATGGTTTGCCATTTGGGTTTGATTTTGGAGTTCCTTCTCATACAAGAATTGGTTTCTTTCATACCTGCAGAGTTCTCCTGTCTTCCAGTCCACTGTGGATAAATTCTAGCTTCAGCCTTCCCTTTTCTGACCTTACAGGAAAGGGTGAGGTTACTAAGAGCTCCCACTCTTGCTGGTGTAGCTCTTAGAGTTATTGGTGTTACTGGGTCCCCCCCCAATCATGTTGTGGGGTAATCCTATGGTTGTACCTTGAAACAAACTGGTAATCAATGTATGTCTTACAGGGGACATGCAATGTGATGCTGCCAGTTGGACCAGTTTCAGTTTCTGAAAACTTTGCAAAAGTGATACCAAACATAATATATTGCAATATTCCAGTCTAATTATAGCTAATACATGTGTCACAATGGCCAGGTTTGACCTCCTAAGAAACAACCACAGTGGACACCAATGAAGGTGGCACTGTTACCCACCACTTAAATAAACAGGAGCAAAATAGAGTCCCAAATCATTCAGAGAGGGAGAACTAGTTTATCCAAAACAGGGTGAATTCTAATTCCAGAATCTGTCTCCTGTTAGTCCAGGATCTTGCCTGACTTCTCAACTTATTTGTCCTCATCCAGCCCAGTATTACCTTTACACACTGATTCAGAAGATTATCAGCTATCCTAGTAATAAATGAGGAGATCAAGGTATATGTCAAATGAATATTGGTAAAAAAAACATCCCAAATTCCTAGATTATCTGTCTCGGCAGTTTTATGTAGATGTTAAATAATATGGAAGAAATCAATAATATGAAGGAAGAAAATACACTGATGTAGATTACTGACCTTTGAGACAAAAGCTGTGTCACTTACAAACTCAGCCCTGAAGCCAGACTTAAATCTAGATAATCTGTTCTGTTGGAGGACCCCTGGAACTCTAGTTGTGCATGACCTGTTGAGCTCATTTTGGATGGGGCTATGCATATGAATGCACACCCTATTAAGAGTAGTGCAGTGCTAACAGACATGCACAGTGATGCACATTCTCATTCAAATACAACCACTGCTTCTTTGTTCCAAATGTGCGTATGTCACTCTAATTCTTTTTTTCTCTCTCTGCAATTATTTTACTGATTTTATTTTTATTAATATGTTGCTGCTGAGGGTTTTTGTATTATAGTTACTCATCCTGGACTAATTTTAAAAAGAACAAGTTAAAACTTAGGATAGGTATGGATCAGAAATGTAATCCACTGATGTAACAGGGCATCCCTATTTTTAAAAAAAGTTTCTAAAATAAGCTTTCTGGCATAAAAATTGGGAATTTGGAACAATTCACGGAAAATCAAATACTTCGAATTTCTGAGAATGACATTTTCACAGAGATGTTCTTACTATGTTAAGAATATTGTGCATGCAATTTTGGCAGTATTTGTTGCTCTTCTAAATGATTAGTAGAAATGAGAAAAGAACATGAGACGTAGGGTTGCATAGTGCCAGTAAACTAAAGTACAAATCAATAAGAACTTTGTTTCAGAAGAAACTATCAAACAAAATGTTATTGGAATGAAAGACAGAGAATAAATATAATGAGGTTGGTGAGGAAAACAGAGGATGTCGGGTTCAGCACACATAAACTGACTCAGCATATCCACTCGAATTCATATTGTGTATTGTGCAAATAGATTCTCCTGCATTACACAGAGAAGCGCATATTAGCTAACATCACTCAAGATTGTCAATACAGTTTTACTGAGTCAAACAATATTGTATTGTGCTTTGCAGGCAACCACCAATATAATTATTACATTATTTAAACTATTTGCATTCCTTAAAAAAGTCTTGCAGGTATTCAGTATGCTATATAACTGTTTAATTCAGTTTCATCTTTAAATGAACTTAGTTATATTACATTACATGAATGCATTTGGCATTCCCTCTTCTTAAGGTTTATACTAATACCATTTTGAAAGGGAAATAGCCATGATTCATGTTCAATGGTATCTGCAGGGTTTTTTTTGTCTGTTCTGTATGTATATGCACTTATATTTTCCATGAACTTCCAATGTACAGTAGAGTTGAGGAATTTTTCTGCAAAATTGGAGTTTCTATTGATGTCTCTATTTAAAATAGTATTATATGAGGAAATAGTAAAATCAATAGAAACTCCAATTTTGCAGAAAAATTCCTCAGCTCTACTGCTTTATTTGGCCAATTTATGCATAGAATTAATTTTTTTTCTTAAAATGAAAAGTTCAAAAAAAGCAGATAGATAAAAATAATGCAGTCGAGAGCAAGATTTTTCTTTGTTTATGTTATTAATCTTGCAGTGAATTAACATACAACAAAAATTGTGGTAAATCTTTTTATGATTGGCTGCACCTTTTTAATTATTTTTTTTAATACCATCTTCCCTTCTCTCTTCCTTACCAGTGCTTTAGGGGATATGTGTGCATATATGTGTGTGTGTGTACAGGTAGTCCTCACTGACCAACCACTCATTCAGCAACTGTTCAAAGTTGCGGCCGCTGCAGTTGTGATCACATAATCATGATTCGGGTGCTTGGCAACCAGTGCGCACTTATGATGGTTGCAGAGTCCCGTGGTCACATGATCACCATTTGTGACCTTCACAGCCAACTTCCCACAAGCAAAGTCAATGGGGAAGCCAGCAAGAAGTCGCACGTCGCAGTCATGTGACATTGCACTTAATGACTTGCTGTGATTCGCTTAACGGCTGCAGCTGTAACTGACAAACTGGCATCATAAGTCACGCATGGTCACATGACTTTTCACTGTACAACTTAGTGACAGAGTTGCCGGTCCCATTTGTGGTTGGTAAGTGAGGACTACCTGTATATATATAAATAAAAATTTTATCCCGCTTTTTTAAATATATGTAACTCAAGGCAATGAACATACCTAACACTCCTTCCTCCTCCTATTTTCCCCACAACCACCACCCTGTGAGGTGGGTAGGACTGAGAGAGAGTGACTGGCCCAAAGTCACCCAGCTGCCTTTCATGCCTAAGGGAGAACTAGAATTCACAGTCTCCTTGTTTCTTGGCCAGCACTTTCACCACTACACCAATTTATTTATACCAGGGCTTTTCAAAATGTGTTCTGTGGAACCCTAGGGTTCCTGAGAACTTGATGGAGTTCTTGAGAGAAAAAGGGTTAAAAAAAAAACAAGTTTACTTGAACACAGCCAATTTTCTGTCACTAGAGCTTTGCCTCTTAATCAGGGGTTCCGGAATTTCTTTTTTTTAAATTAACAGGTTCCACAATTTGAAAAAGTTTGAAAATCACTTATTTCTATGATAGAATCTAGAAGATGCAATACAGTACATTTATCTCAACATTTTTTGTCTTTTCCATACAAGTTGGAATAATTTATAACATTTACTTTACTATATACAAAATAACATCACAATAATGGGAGTAATAAAGATGACATTTAGCTAATCCTAATACCTTCACACTAAATAACATTTTTCACAATTGAGTTTGATGATTAATTTTGGTTAAATCAATAAAATTTATTTATATTTAATATCTCTCCCCATTTAACATTCCACTAAATAGTGTTACTAAATTAAATTTATCATTCAGTGAGAATGCAATTGAAGAATGGAATTAAGATTTGGTTGTAAATGAGGCAAGGATAAGGTTATTATTCATCACTTCAAGTGGATGGTCCCAAGCGAGAACGTTGCAGGATACTTGAAATCAGGCATTTTATTTTTATTATTTTAAGTTATCATTATGCAAATAGTTATTACTTATTAATAGCCTTAGATTAGATAGGATAGGATAATGGAGGGGTGTAAGATCATATTTGACAGCCATTATTCACATTGCAGTGCAATTACAATCTAGATATTATGGCTACATCTATATTTTCATTTTTTTATGGTTGCAAGTATACATATAGATAAGAAAATAATGGAAACCTCCATCTACATAGTCTCTCTCTATATGTGTTGCTTAATGAATTCATTTAAGAATACCGCTTGCAAAGCATTCGATTAGAAAACATATGGGAGATATATTTTATTGAACAATAAATATATAGATATCTATTCTACTTTTTCAATACTTATGCATCATTTACAATATTTGAAGTCAGTAAAAACTGACTGATGCAACAAGACCATAAAAAGAAAGATATACTATGTCATGGCTGTTGGAGAATCTCCAAAATTCCACAAACTCATTCTAAATGTTTTTCTTCATATTTCATCAATCAATCAATCAATCAATCAATCAATCAATCAAAAGTCATTCATTCAAGACTCTGTAACTGGCTAACAAACACAAGTGTATCATTTTCCAAAAGCAGTACAAGAAACTATGATAAAATGCAGAAATATCATGCATTCAAAGAGATTTCCAAGTGGATTAAATTATCCAGGTGAACTGCTAAACAATCTCTAGCTCTAAACATGGCTTCAGCTACAATTAGACCCTGCATTCAAGGCCAATAATTTTCCTCTGAACTAAAATTGTTATACAATTTCTTTAATAGTCATGTGAAGTTAAATCTGGGTTAAGGAAACAGTTTCTCTACTTTTAGAAATACCTCTGATTTTATACACTTTTCTTATTTTAGGGTTTTTTCCTTAACACATTCTTTATTCTAATAACTTAGTGATTTCAAAACGTGGTGTGGAATATGATGTACCAGTAGAACATTAGACTACAACCAGGTAGATTCAGGCTTAGATCCAGTCTCAGCCATGAAAAATTACTGAGTGGTTTTAGGCCCATCACCCCCCTCAGTTCAATCTATATCATTAGTTTGTTGTTGAGGGGGAAAATTGAAGGAAAGAATATTATGTTGGCTGCCTCGAGCTCCCAGGTTACAGGTGGGATAGAAATGGATTGAAATACATAAAATAGGACAAAGAATCATTTTAAATTGGATAATTAAAGCACTGACCTGTACAGGTTCAGGAGTAAGCTGGACAACATGCTGCATACGTTCGCTGTGATGATGCCTAGACTCTTCCTCATAGATAAGATCCCTCTCATGCTGAGGAAGATTGAGGAATCGCCGAATGGTGCACAGATTTTCCCAAAGTGTACGATTTTCAGGGCTTGGGTTTTCTTTCCAACGCAGCAGCTCACACAGCCAACCCTGCAGAGAAGTCAAAAGATATGCATTGTTAACCAGTAATGAATATAGTAGTTTAATAGGAGCCTTGAGTGCCATTGGGAAAAAAAAACTTTTTCCAGATTTTTTACTACAATGTGTTCATAGATAACACCTCCAGTTTAAAACTTGCAAACTATTCAGTTGGGTGACTATATTTCTACAGCATCCCAAATAGTAGGATTCAACTTAAGACACATTCTTTTATCTGAAATCCCTTCAACTAGGGAAAATAAGAGTTGAAGTGTTCAGTTTGATTCAGATATATTGAACAATATATGCTATTTATATACATTCCCTGTATACCCAATAATGATAAATCATACAATAAGACATTTTTAAAAAATCTAGTTGAAGCTAATTTCGGTGTTCTGAGATGGGGGAAAGGGAAATTTAATCCCATAATTTTTACAGTAATTATGAAAGAAAAGTTATATGCTAACATTATATGCTATAACAAATAGAATTTGGCACCCAGACAGGAAGCCCTTGAAAAATAACTGG